ACAAGAAAAATCTTCAGTTCACTCAATATTATCTTTGAAGAAAACAGCAATAGATAAGAGTTCAGTTTATTCAAACTCGTATTCCATGTTTCCATCATTAAAATATTCAATAGAAACAGATTCTGCCATTAGCACTTATTGTCATTGCTTTAATCAAATATTCGATTAATTAAATATATTAAACAAAATTTATTTTCTACATGAAAAAATTGAATTGTAAGTACCCATGTCATACATTCTGATTCAAATAACATACGATAGTTCGTTGACTATTCTCTAATATCTTCTAATATTAATTCTTCCAAACTTTCCATATGTAGATTTGTGAATTCTCTGCAATTTTAAAAGCAGGTTGACGCATAAGTTATCTGCTAGTGTGATGATAATAATTAACCAACAAAAAACGAAGATTTCTATCAGCTATGTGCGCAGTACGATATAATAAAAAAAGGAAATAATCTTACTCATGCATTCTCGAAGGTACAAATAAAATGACTCTAGTTTACTTGCTGATCAGTTTTGGTACTCACGATGATTATAACGATGATGATTTGAATAAACGAACAACTTTAAATTAAAAATGAATTTAAGTTACAGAGAACTAATTAAATGCTCTACATTTTTTGTAAACACCCAATATTATAGGCAAATTATTAATAAAGAAATCAAACTATCAGTATAAAATTTAAGGTTCGGTAGCTATTATGTTCTCTCAGTTAACTCATGGTTTCGTTAATAAATAAAACTTTTGTGGGTGTGAAGTGTGAGTTACTGCTTGAAAGGACAACATCAACACCTACATGTACATAATTAAACATCGAATCATTTGACACTTATTATTCATCTTTTCAAACAATTTATTATGCTACAGCGAACTTTTACTGAAACAAAAACTACTGCGTGCGCAATAAAAAAAAACATATTAAGTATTCATTATAAAATACTGACGAAGGAAAATATTCAAGGTGATGCCTCGCGTTTAAGATAAGATCTCAATAATCACATAGATCTTGTTGACACTAGAAGAAATCAAGAATATATAAGCATATGACAGACATAGTACGTTGTACTTCTCACATACTAGGGATACGCAAATAATACCAATTGATATTCACTTGATTATTATTGTTAGGGAACAAATTAAATACTCAGTATTTTCTTGTAAATGATCAGTATTATGTACAATATTATTAGTAAATAAATAAAACTATCAGTATAAAATTTAGCACTCAGTACCTATCATATCTGTTCAGCAAATTAATTTGTGGGTGTGGGATTAAGTGTAGAGTCTGAAGTTTGGCTGTAGCTATGGGCTCGAGTGCGGGTGCTGCTGTAAGGATGGTAGAGTTCGGCGATCCAGAAAAAAAACACGGATACCAAGAACTGAGTCAGGACCGGAACTGTTAAATCATCAGATCTATAGAAAAATTTTTAAAGCTATGTCAAGAAATTTAATTTTTTACATTCTTAAGACTAAAGATTTCAGTAGATATTTAAAATATTGTTCTCTTTGATACTGTAATATGTAGCGTCTTTAATTTCCACAATTTAGTAGTAAAAACTTCTTAAAATATATTTAAAATAGTCGTATCTGTCTGATGATCAACAGTTTCGGTTTCATATAGTATTTTGGGAGTCGAACCGAAACTGCTTCTTTTTTTCATTATAAATGACCGAAACTGGAGCTGAAAATGTGGTTCCGGATAATTTATGCAACCGCCGAGCGATGTACGAAAGCCGACAGCTATACAGACACCTTTAATATTAGATCTTTTAAAATTAATTACTGAGTTTTCAAACTATTTACTGTGCAAAAGCTAACTTTTTTACTGATCAAAAAATACTGATCATGCGTTATAAAATACTGAGCAATTCAATACATGTCTTATCTTTATTGCAATTCAATGAAGCTTTGTAGTATATTAAAAATAACTCTAATAAATTATAGTCATAATAAAGTCAGACGCTTCCTCGGGAAAGAAACTTTTTTTAATAAATTTCTCTTGAAAAGGTGTTTCTATCGTAAATAAACTATTGCTATGATTTTGATCATACTTCAATGTCAAATTATCTCATTGGTTTTTTTTTCAATTATTCTAATGTGGACTCGATGTAGTAAACGTTACTATGAAATATCTATAATTTTTATCAAAACAGGCTAATTCATAAAAAAAGCTATTTTTTTTAACTAATTATCACTTTCAAAATCAAAAAAAAAATTGAGAAAAATTCATCCAGGCATGAAATGAGTTTTTTAGCAAAAAAAAAACAAAATACTCGACAATGTCATAGAAGTATGAAGTGGAATGCAATTTTGTATAACAGAATGCGAAAAAAAGAAAATACATGATTATTTCATCACCCATTATTTGGTAATATCAAAAATTAACGAAATATATTTCCTTTAATAGTCATGATATATTATGTTGATTGCTTACATATTATCATATTTGATTAAAAAAATGCAGATATTTACATAGAATGGAAATACAGATGATAGACAATCGATAAGTTAAATTGTTAGTAATTCAAATATCAATTTTAATTTTCTCTTCAATCGTTTTTCTATGTGTCATATTTTTCAAGTTTTATTTACACATGTAAATTTGTCTACTTGATAATAATCTATCCGTATTAATATCAAGGACAAAAAAAAACACGCCATTACATAAAAATTTACGGATGAAAAATTTTTGGAAAATATCCAACTAACTTCAAATACTCTTTTCTTTTCTTTTAGTTTTGAATGGAGAGTGCACATATTTTTTGCAATTTTCTTTTAAGGATAAAATCTCATTAAAATAACTTTGATACTTGAAAAATATTTATTCTAAAAACATACTTAATAACAAGTTCGTAGAAAACCAACAGGTATTATGTTTATTAATTTTCTTGTTAAAAAGTAACAACAAAATAATAAGCCTAATCTGCCATTTCATTGTTGAGACACATCTTGAAAATATGTTAATGGTTACAGAGATACTCAAGATTAAGTTTTTATTAGTAGTAAATCATGGATAAACACAATTAATTGAGAAGTATCTCTCATGGTAAGACTACTCTAATCTATATAGAAGTCTTATATTTTTTTTTTTTTTTGTAATTTCTTGTCCTCATATCCAACGCTTTTGTTTGACATTTTAATAAGATAGGCAAAAACAAAAAACTAGAAGATGTTAATTTATTTAATTTAAAATATGAAAGAGTAAATTGCTTAATAAAGAAAAAATTTTAGTATAAAATTAATAAAAAACAAAAACAAAATGCTTATTTTCTTGCACTAAATACTATTATCAGCAGATTATCTAAATCTATGGTATTTGAACTAAGAAATGAAATAGCCATAAAAAGACTTTGGTAAAACTATTCTTGATTTCTGAATGTATGTGCATGGCAAGATTATTAAACATTAACATATGCTATTTTTAACCCAACTTTCTAATAATTTTAAAAGATATCCTCTACCATAAAATAAGAAAAAAAAAGTTCAAAAGCAAAAAACAATCTTATGCCAGATGTTTCTTTATTTTTCCGTCAAATTTCTGGATGCATATGCTAATCTTATGTTAATACCACTATATTTCAAAGTAAATTTAAGAAGTTTCTGTTTATATATGAATTTATTTTATTTAAAAATGAAAATTTTAAAGAAAAGGAAAAGAAAGAGAATGTAAGTTGCATACTTATTAACGCTTGTTAACATTAGGTTCTGTTAGATAATAGAAAGAAATTCCTTATTTACTTTTCTTTTTTTTTTTTCTATTTTTATGTAAGAAAAAAGTCATATATGAACAAGCGTATAATATAACACAAGAAGTATGAGAGTTTTTTCTGTCACATCAAATATTATTTTATAACGCCCATGCACAGATAATTTATATGCTCTCTATTTTCTTATTAAAACATTCTTCGTTGTTTTTTTTTCTGTTTTGACAATAAGAACATTCAGTTTTTATGCTACAGTTTGAGAACTAAGCAAACTGACTGAGCCATGATGATTATAGAACAAACAAAATTAGATAACTAAGTTTGCAAAAAATTTTAAACTATAAATTTATATATTGAAGGTTTATTATTATTATTATTTTTTTTTTATTAGTATATTATCTTCCTTTTTTTGCCTAAATAAAGACATCTTGAACTTAGAAAGATCGATTTTTCCCGGTTCTTTAAAATTTCATTATATTTCTGTGTTTCGTCGCAGGAACAAAGAATAAAACAACACTAATATCAATAGCCGTCGGGAATTTATGTATGCATCGGCTGACAAATTCCAAGTGTTCGGATAATTATTATGATTAAAATGAAGTAGAAAACTTGATGCATAACTTTAAACACGTAAGCAGTCACATTGCTAGTCTAATAAAAAAGTGCATATCTACGCATTTTCTTTGACGTAGGAAAAGTAAGTAAATAAAATTTTTGAGTTTCATTTATTTTTCTTTTCTTCTCGTCTTATTATTTTCACTATATTTAACATGACAATAAGATAAAAAGAGTTTAATGAAGAAAATACTAGAATGTATCAACTTGTCATATCTTGTGTATCACATTCTGATAGACATATACTGACTACGAATATGAAAATCTTCTTAATGATTATTTCAACTAGATATTAGTTTATTTTTATTTATTTAGAAATAACAGAAATTTTCTTTTTATTCTAGATAAAATTTCTTAGTATATGTCATAAATCATATTTATTTTAATAAATCAATAGAGAAAACTATAGAAAGCACGTATAGTAAGTATTTAACTTGATTATTCATAAATGTGAATAAAAATGCAGCAGTTGTTCTTATCAACCTCTTTCCAAACTCAATGTGTATGAGGTATCCGGTTTCCGTTTAAACACTTTATTTTTCTCGAATTAATGAACTTCGTCATTCTAATTATTTTAAATCATATTTTATCATATGTGTATATAAATATATATATATATATTTAGATTAAATGTTTAAAGATTATTTCATTTGAAAATATAAAAGACGAATAACACAATGCTCAATAATAGTCTAAAATCAAATAATACAATGGTATATATTCAGACTATTCTTATGCAAATATCGATACCATATATAATTATTGTTTCTTTAATTGGTATTGCTGGAAATGTTATTACAATTGTTATGTTATCTAAACGATCTTTAACAAAAAATTTTAATAATTGTACATTAATTGCACTTGGTAAATAAATAAAGAAATTTATTTGTCATTGATTTATTTTTTATTTTTTTTAGCAAGTACAGATCTATTATTTAATTTAGCACTTGTTTCTCGTTGTTTAAGTGATTTAATAGAATTAAATTCCGATATATTTTGTCGTTTATTATCATTTTTTTCTCATTTAGCTGAATTATTATCAGCTTGTTTTACAGTTCATTTTACAATTCAACGTTTTGTTGCTGTTAAATTTCCTTTAAGTGTATTTATTGAAAGAAAAAATTATTTTTTACATTATTCTATTCTAACATTATTTATTTTATTTGGTATTGCTTATTGTTTATTACTTATAACAAAAAATCAATATGAAAATTGTCAAGAAGAATTACATTTAAATTGGTTTCTATCTGATGCATTATTATCATTTGTTATACCATTTACATTAATTGCTATATTAAATTTATTAATTATATTTCATTTAAGAAAAACATGTCGAAATAATCAACAATTAATATTTACAAAACAATCAAAGAAAAATTTTTTACCATTAAATTCAAAACGAAAAAGTTTAATTTCATTTGATTCAATTTCACAAGCAAAATTATCTGAAACTTCAACCGTAACAAATATTAAGGTATTATTAAAAACAAAAAATCTATTTATACTTTCAAAATACTGAGATGATTTTAGATTAATACTTGTTTAGATATATCAATACAGAATAAATTCTTATTTATCATAGTTTTTTTTTAGAAAATTCTATAGATTAAGTTATTTATTCTTTACTCTAGCATTTACCCATATGTCATTATTTATTTTATTACCCCTTAAAACATGTAAAATAAGAATTTTATATCGTTCTTCTTTATAATAAAAAAAATGATAGAAGATATTTACTACGTCATATAATGAGTTCTAATAATAGTGTTGTTTTTTTTTCATCAAATATGAAATAATATATTCTTGAATATGCATTGATCCAGGAAAAAAAAAAGATCTTTTTTTCATGCAACATAAAACTATAGCAAAATCATATACGTCGTTCAGATCTAATTGAAGAAAAATAGCTAAATAATAATAGTCGACTGTACTAATGTTGAATTTATAGTAAAATTTTTAATAGATAACTTATCAGATAATTTTCACAAGAAATTATTTAACGATTAAAATCATGTTTAGTTAAAATAAAATTATATATTTAACCCTTTGGAGACGGGAAGCACATATGTGTGCTTTATATAGTACCGTAACCCCGTCCCCAAAGGGTTAAGGTTCTTAGTGATCAAAACAATTTGATGAACGATATTTAAAGAAACTCTTCTTTTGTTTTGGAAGAAATCAAGTTAATCTATTAAGAAAAAAAAGTATTTTTCTTTTTATTTATAAAAGAACGGCAACCATAAATTTGAAAAATATTCTTTATTAATTACTCAACATATTTTTTTCTTTACAAAAAAAAGTACATGTACTTAGATTAAATGCTTGAGAAACCTGATAGGTCAGTTTTCACTCGTATATTATAGTAAGTAACAATAATCTGACAGACAAATGCGCCGTGTTTGTCATAAGTCGGATTTGTTACACAACAAAAATGAAATGAAATTGAGTCCTTTGAACAGATGTCAGTAGGGCCGAATGCAAAACTCAACAAAAACAAACATATTCGAAACAAAATGAATTATAATATAATAACAAGAAGTATTGAATTTTCTGATAATGAGTTTTGTGTTCATATGAACTCAGAACTAAAAAGAAATAATACTGTAAAAATGTTTTATTCAAATATTCTCAATTATAGGCAGAGTTCAAAATTTCTAAGGAGAAGAAATATCATATCCGAAGGGTAATCACTAATATCTATCACATTTGAGTTGTCGAGATTCAAATGTAGACTATCATTTTCAAGAGCATCTGTCTGATTTGAATAATTAAATGTACTCCGTGAAGTCTATTAATCATCCAATTCTTGAGGTTCTGTCTATCAATCCTGAAGAAGTTAATTTGATCTCCGTAAGAGATTACCAAGGCATGTCTTTTCATGCTCAATGAATACTAATTGCGGATCATGATGAATGGGGTATATTAATCCAGAATTTACATTTGCATACAAAGAAGCTTACACATTAATCGTCTGAAGCTATTTCAGTGTCATTAAATTGCGTGTTAAGCAAAATAGTTGAATTCTATGACCTACTATCGTTTTTTTTTTATTTATTCAGGCTTCAAAATATCAATTATCAGTAAATGAAGAAACTAAAGATCATTTTCTTACTGTTGGTGTTACAACTCATCGTACCGGTTCAATACGTTCAACAACACGTTCTCAAGCTCAATCACATCGTGTAACACGTATGCTTATTTTAGTCTCAACTTGTTTTCTATTACTTAATGCTCCTTCACACATCTGTTCAATTAGTTTAAAAATTTATACATTAAAAAAATCTCAAATCATTAATAATACTGTTCAAAAATATCTAAATTTAATTAGTAATTCGAATGGAACAGTATCAGCTATAATTGAAAATCCAAATTTTGTTCATACAATAGCAACAATTAGAAGTGAAAATCCATCTATAATTAATTTAAATTTTTTTCATATATTTTATACTATTGTTATTATAACACAACATATATCTTATTTATCATATTCAATAAATTTTTTTCTTTATTCATTTTGTGGAATGAAATTTCGTCAAGAACTTCTTAGATATTTATCACGTTATGGAAAATATCAACGACAAATACAAACATCACGTATTATAACTAGTTAAAATTTATTTTAAAATAAATAAACAATGGTTATTCAATTTATATTGTTCAAGCTTTCTGTTTGTCAAGTATTGTTTTCTTTTTTTTTTGTTTCAATAAATCATTTGAATTCGATTCGGAAGTTTTACATTATTGAATCTAGGAGTAACAAAATAGAACTGGATGGATTTCAGTTAAAGCTATCAATTTAACAGAAAAGTAAAATCTATCGTACTTTTTCTGTAACAAGCAAAAAAAGTATGACAAATTTTGCTCATCCAATATAAATATGATATAAAGCCTCAACTGCTTATTGATCTAAATGACGAATTGAAATTAGACACACTTTCGTTATTTTTCCTAGAAGCATCATTCCAACGTACGGATAAATTTTCTATTTTTGGCACTTTACAAAGAAAAATCTTTCAAATGATGATAGAGAGTGTGTTACAAATTCTGAACCTTAAGAAAAATTAATTTATAAGCTGACAAAAAATAATCTCTAACGGAATACATCTATCAAATATTTGAATACTTGTGCCCATATTTCAAATAATATAAATATTGAATGATATCTTTCTTTGCAAGTATTGTAATATAAATAGAAGCATATAATGTTGAATTTTTTTAAATCGATCTATAAGACTTTTTTTTTTTATTAAGAAAAAGAAACGCTGCATTTGATTAATTCAAGTAATAAGTTAATTACACCAAAAATGTCTATGAACTATTATGTACGTATTTAGTTTGTATCTTTATTATTATAATAGAAAATATCATTCAATATAACCATGATTTACATCAGGAAAACTTATTTTCAAATTTCAACTAGAAACTTTCCATAGAGATACATCTGAATGAGAAATTTGTAGTAAACATTTTAGATCTTTTACTTTGTTCTTTTCCTTAAATACAAACATCAAATTAACTAGTATATATGAACACTGCAAAAGACAAGCTTTTCATCATAACTTTACCTTAGGAGATGAATAACAAAATGATCTGGAACAGAGATGTCAATGACTGTGTTTTTTTGACTTGACCTGTTCGACACGGAGCCCAGCTTAGCTCATCTGTTCAATAATGTTTTTCTTCGATCTGCGGGCGACTTTCTGGATTGAAGAGTTATTAATGCATCACAAGCTGCTCGCGGGTTATTAGAAAATTTATTAGTAAAATACTTAGTTACAAATTCGTTAGCATCTTTGTTCATTCATTTGGTTTTTAAATTGTTTGTGTCACTACGATTTTTATAATTAGAATATAATCTCATATTTCTGAGCATAGAAATAAACATTACAAAGTTTAATCAAACTTAACAACAGCAACGAGTAAAGTAAAAGTAATAGTTTATGTTCATCTATATAATGTTAATATAGTAGATACAACTTCAACTAGGACAATAATGGTAATAAATGCACAAAAAAATCGAAAAATAACCGTACTAAAGATCTTTTATTCTTATTTTCCACATTGAAAGAACTAATAACATATTATTGAACTTTGATATTGTGCAAGTATAGGTTTTTGGATCGTTGCGTCAGAAATAAGATTCACCAGTCACACTCACATCTGAAGCATATTTATGCATATATACTTTAAAATAAGTAGGTAAATGACTAGAGCTAAGAAGCAGAGAGAACTAATGATAAAACGAAATTAGTGGAAGAGCGAAAAAATAGTATGAATGATGAACGTAATACTATGTAGAACGAAAGATGAACAGTAAAATTTGTAAACGAATTGAACTAGCGGATACACCTAAAAACATAACCTGACCTATGAAATCCTTAAGTCAAGAAAATACCTAGCCCATGAGCCGATAATCTGTCGTTTTCCTGGTGTTTCTAAGAGAAGCCACATTCTAAAGTTCATTAGAGTCAACATGATGCACATAGCTCCTATTCAAAAAATAATTAGTCGAATAAGAAAACTTCTCTTGTTAGACTCAATGGATAAAAACAGGTGAGTTGAAAGCTTTTAGACAATATGTTTGTTCATTTTTGACCCGTTAGGCAGAATTTCAGATGACTTAAAAGCTATGACTGGATGCTCCTTTCGAATACGAGATTAGAAATGTTGTATTTAAAAAGAGTTGAAAAATTATTTTTAATGCTGATCAAATAGGCTTTTTTCTATACTATAAGCTCTTCTTCGTAGATGTTGAAAATGATTGATGTCAGTCGTTTTTTTTACACTGAACATTTCTCTACAAAATGTAATATTGAATTTAATTACAACTTTTATTCAAGTGAAAGTAAAACCGTATTCTCATGAATTTGTTTTAATGTAAAAAGATTGTCGATTTTTCAAAAATGAGTATTGAAGAAAAACGAAAAAATTGAGAAGCCTTGTCAAAAAATAATAAACAAAAACTTCAGATAGTGCATTTTTTATGGTAGCTTCTGTTCTACAAGTTGATATATAAATAAAGACTTTGACATTTAGTTTCCCATCACAATAATAAAAATACAAAAATGATCCATTTAAACGAATCTTTTAGACATTTCAAAGATTATTTTATTATCATTCGAATAAAAAGCGAGATAAAATTTTCTAAGCTCATATTGTAGAAGAACACAAAATTATAGCTCTTAACTCGTTGTAAAATACTTTCTAGCAAATCAAAAAACAAACAAATATTTTTGTTTTCTAAAAATTTTCCGATCATCTGTTAGTATGTCAAAATTATAAAGACCTTTTTTATGCAAAAAAAGAAGGGCATTTTTATATAAAGTTCTTTAATTTTAAAAAGTTTTTCATAATTAGTGTAACACATAGATTAAATTAACTCAAACGATTATTAAAATCAATTGATCTTTTTCGATAAAGAAAATATTGAATTCTGAAAATTTTTGTGAGTCACCACAAGAAATTTTAGAAGATCAAATAAATTTTGAATATTCATCATATGTAACTTCAGTTATTGATTTTCAGTTATGTCTAAACACAATGTAAACAAAAAGTACAAGTTACAATTATAATCAAGTTGTTACTTTTGAGTTTCAAAGAAATTTCTCAGCATAAATCCAATATTTTTCAAACGGCTCATCATGATCGATGATGTATATAGTAAATGAAAATGTTCTGAATAGTAATAATAAAAGTCGAAGAATATATCAGAGAAATTCTCTATCAAAGTTTTGATAATAAAATAACGAAATTTATCAATTAATATTAAAAAAAAAATATTCTAGTTGAAAGCATTAAAAAACATAAAGACTTGGATAATTATAATCAAAAGATATTAACATGATTATTTGTCGTCCAAAATGATGCAAATTTGCATGCACTTGCCCAATGACAAGATCAAATTAATAGCTTTTCTACATTATTAACTTTTTTAGACTATAAAATGTATTTAATATTCATCGTGATTTAATAACGATTTCGGTATTGTTCTTTTATTTAATATTGCTTCTTGAATACAATAATAGAATGAGAATAGTGTTCGGAGAAAGTACGTAAAACTTTTGTCAAGTAAACGGTAAATTGAAGAATTTTCTGCATATATTGATTTGGACTATAGGTGACAGGAAACAGTTTAACAACGCATTTTTCTTTTTTTCCTTCTGCTATTCTCATTTTTTTTTTCTCTTATAAGAATGTTAATAATTAAATATATATATATATATATTGATGAGAAAAAATAAATAAAAGAAATCTGCCTAATACTAATGAAAGGCAATTGGAATCGATGAAGATCATTTGATTAATCTTATGTATGAATATTTAATTGAAATATTTAAATATTTATTATATATATATATTCAATCATAGAATTGCTTTATCCATTTCTATATCATCATTTCTCGTATTATATTATATTCAAAATATTTATCTCTATATTGGAAATGTTATTATTATTTATTCTTATACTTATTATTCGAATACCATCATCATCTGATGCAGCAGTAGTATTTTTTCATAGAAAATTAGAACAAAAATCACGTTTTCATTCTAATCAACAAGAAGATAATGCTCCATCTATGCCAGAAACTGTTTGGACACATTTTCAATGTGATTCAAAAATAAGTCCATTTATAAGTGTTGGTTTTGGTTGTTATTGTCCAGGTGCATGGTGTTCAAATAATAATCAATGTTGTTCACAAATGTGCTATAAAAAAACTTGTTATTAATTTTTTTTTTCTTTAATTTGAGTGTGTATAGTCTTCCTAATTTTAGAATGCTCTTTTTATATACTCACATTTCATTTTCTATATCTTAAAGTAATAATAAACAAATGAGCTCAAGTTTAATGACTAAGTAAGCACATATCTTATCTAATAGTTGATGAAATGGTTTTTTTTTTTGAAAAACTTTAAAAAAAAAAGTACATAATCTAGTTATGAGCAGTAATATAAAGTCAGTTGATCATGTTCTAAATGAGCACAATATCCGCAATAAGAATGCTAATGTAAAGGTTGCATCAAATTAGAACGGATCAGTGTAACTATAAATAGAATAATATTGTTCTACATATATTTGCACTTATCCGTTCAAATTTGATGCAACTTTTGCATTAGCATTCTTATTATATATATCATACTTATTTAGAATGCGATCAACCAACGTCATGTTATTACTCATAATTAGATTTTTTTTTCGATTTTTTAAAAAATTCTTGCATCAATCGGTAAACAAGACATATACTCACTCTGTCATTAAATTTGAGTTCATTTGTTCACTGTTCTACTAAGATATTACAGAGAAAACATGAGCATATAAAAAAAAGCGTATTCTAATTAGAAATATGTACTCTAATGGAATAGAATTTTTAATTTATTAATAAATTAGAAAATTCTGTTATTTACATTTTGAAATGAAGAATTTAGTGTTTTTGTTAACATATAGTAATATGTGTCACAGAAAGAACTGAATATAGGGGTGGTGCATTAGCATTAGTATTAGCATTAAATTAATGCTAACACCAATATTCTTGTTTTCCGTTCCTAAGAAAAAGTATTTGAATTTGTATTGATTAATGTACGGTTAGACGCAGCCAACAGCCCTGATTAATTCC